TATTCTCATCACACATTGTTAGGTATTGTCCCCCAGTTTTGAAGTATTCTGTTCCAATTTTTTAGTCTTTTTTTTCTATTTGCTTTTACGTTTTGGAAATTTCTATTGACATATCTTCAAGCTCAGAGATTCTTCAGTGGCTCAGCCTACTAATGAGCCCATCCAAGGCATTCTTCATTTCTTTTATAGTGTTTTTTATTTTCAGCATTTCATTTTTATTCTTTCTTAGTATTTCTCTCTGCTTACAATATCAATCTGTTCTTATATGTTATCTACTTTTACTATTACTGGTCTTAGCATATTAATCATAGTTACATTAAAATCCTAGTCTGATAATGCCAACATTCCTGCCATATTTGACTCTCATTCTAATGTTTGCTCTGTTTTTTCAAGCTGTTTTTTTTTTTACCTTTTAATATGCTTTGTAATTTTTTTGTTGGAAACCAGACATGATGTACTAGGTAAAAGGAATTGTAGTAAATAGGCCTTTAGTAATGTGATGGTGAGGTGTGAGGAAGTGTTTTAATGTCCTATGATTAGTTCTCCATCTTTTGGTGAGCTTATGTCCCTAGATCAGCCGTGGGCAAACTACGGCCCGCGGGGCGAATCCGGCCCGTTTGAAATGAATAAAACTAAAAAAAAAAAGACCGTACCCTTTTATGTAATGATGTTTACTTTGAATTTATATTAGTTCACACAAACACTCCATCCATGCTTTTGTTCCGGCCCTCCGGACCAGTTTAAGAACCCATTGTGGCCCTCGAGTCAAAAAGTTTGCCCACCCCTGCCCTAGATTGTAAACTTCACCAGCGCTTCTCAGTTTTTTTCTTTTTCCTCCCTTAGGTGGGACTTCAAGATCAGAATTAGGTATTTCCCTTCTCCTAGATATGTTAGGCTTTGATAAAACCCCAATAGGTTAGGCTATGATAAAATTATTGCTCTCTTGAGAGGAAACCTTGTTACGAAGAACAGAATTTTCTGAAGCATGAGTGGGATTATCCTCCTATCTTCATTGTGAGAACCCTTTAGAGCTACTGGAAGTAAAAGTCACAAAAGTGTGGGTATACTCCCCTGTGACTGGGCCCCTGGAGTTTTTAACTTTCATACTGTTTTGCATTGAGCCCCCAGCTATTCATTTCAGTTCAGGTTTTCCTACCCAGGTTCCAATTCCCATGGAGATTTCTGCTCCTGTGTTTCCTCTCCAGCAAGTTTTGATTCTCTGTATCTTTCTGTCTGTTTCTCCAATTTAGGGAGTAATGTTTTCCCCATGACCACAATTCACTGACAGATATAAGAGAAGATAAGTTTTCTTTCAGTTTGTTCAGCTATTTACTTGTTATTAGGATAGAGTAATGACTTACACGCTTCTTAAATGCAAGATTGGAAATTAGAAGTCCAAATTCATCTCTTTTTTTTGGTTTTTTAATTTAACTTAATTTTTAAGTCTTTATTGTTGAGAGTACTACAGATGTCCCCCCCATTGCCCCCCTCCACCTGGTTTGCGCCCTTTATTGTGCTTAGACTTTGTATAGGGGTGACATTTCTATTTCATTATTGGATTAATTTCAGAGAACTTTAGTCCCACCAGGCCCCTGGATTTACATTTATAACTTTAAAGAATAGTTTCTGAAGAATAGAGGAACTGAGAGGAGACATTAGTGGCTGGGGAGGAAGGGCTACCATTTAAGCCCCAGCTTTTTTTTTTTTTTGCTTTTTTATTGTTGACCTTATTACAGATACCCATATCTCCACTTTCTACCCCTTTGCCAGCCTTCACCAGCCCCAGCCCCCTTCCCTTTGGCCATCACCACACTGTTGTTTGTGTGTATGTGGCATACATATATTTTCTTTGGTTAATCCCTTCACCTTCTTTCAACCAGTCCCCCCTCCCCTCTTCCCTCTGACACTTGTCAGTTTGTTCCATGTATCTATACCCCTGGTTCTATTTTGTTTGTCACTTTATTTTGTTCATTAGTTTCCACATATAAGTGAAATCATGTGGTATTTGTCTTTCTCTGTTTATAATCCCCAGTTTTTGAAGCCACCCTTGTGTCCCTTGTTCTTCTAAACCAGTAGTTCTCAACTAGGGGGTCATATTACTCTTCCGGTGACATTTGACAATGTCTAGAGACATTTTTGGTTGTCATAACTGGGGTAGAGGATGGCATGCAACTGGCATCTAGTAGATATAGGATGCTGCTCAACATCCTATAGTGCACAGGGCATCCCCTCACAGCGAATAATTATCTGGTCTGAAATGTCAACATTGCTGCCATTCAGAAACCTTTTTAACCCCTTAAATTGCTCGGACTGTTTCCCACTCACCCAGCACCTACCTGTACAGGTGTCTTACTATCTCTTCACAGTGGTCGCCGAAGGTAGGTGAAATGTCATGATTTGAGATGAGGTGAGCAAAGCCTTAAATTTGAAGCAACTTGTCAGTCAATAGGAAAGTGTGGATGACCACGCTCTAGACCAGTTGATTCCCCAAAAGCCCACTGCTACCTGGGCTCCACTTGCATTGTTCATTCCATCTTTCAAAAGCAGGTCATCGTGCATTGTCTTGTGAGTATATGTCTGGCATATTGGTAGGCTCAGGGGCCTCTCCTAGCTAAGAATGCCTTACATTGTCTTGTGATCCCTCATTGTCTCGTTTAATATCTCCCTCTACAAATAGAGTGGAAACTACCTGCGGACAACATGGCATTTGGCATTGACTGGATATTCAATGAATTTTTTTGTTGAAAGAATTAGGGCTATGTGAGAGAAAATATGTAAAAATGTAAGCTTGGTTATACCTAGGAGCTCAAAGTGAAAGCTGTAGGTGCCTCCAGAGAGGCTAGGAAATGGGATGTGACCCTACAACTGATAGGGGAAGAGAAATTATGGGCCTATACATTGGTTGTTTTGCCTATAGGATTTAATTGGTTTGTCATTAATAATACTGGTAAATATTATTTCCCTTGTTAAATTTCTCACATTTCACTTTCCTTTTCTCTTTGAATTGTTTATACTAGCACCCTTTATCTTTATTAAAAGACCAGTTTTAACCCTGTTTGAAAATTCAGTGTCCTCAGATTTTGTTCCCTAAGGGTCTTATCAAAAACATAACTTAAAAAATCGTTTGTGATGTTTGACATTAGTTATTGTTATATTATCTTGATATTGATTGAATCTCTACAGTAAGTCCTCACAACACCATCGATGACTTTAAGTGAAATGATGTATAACAAAATGAATTTTACCATAGACCAGTGGTTGGCAAACTCTTTAGTCAACAGAGCCAAATATCAACAGTACAATGATTGAAATTTCTTTTGAGAGCCAAATTTTTTAAACTTAAACTATATAGGTAGGTACATTGTTATTAACTTAATTAGGGTACTCCTAAGGCTTAGGAAGAGTCACACTCAAGGGGCCAAAGAGTCGCAGGTGGCTCGCGAGCCGCAGTTTGCCGACCACTGCCATAGACTATCAGCAGTTGCCAACCTTTCGGGCCTCATGGACCACCAGTGGTCCATGGAGCACTGGTTGACGACCACTGGACTAATTGATATAAATGAGAGTTAGATTCCTACAGCATCTCATTAACATTATAATAAAACGATGTTGAACAAAATAACATTATTCAATGACCTGCTCTATGGATTAAGGTAGCTGGTCTCAATTTTTCCATACATAAAATGGGAATAATGATCCTTTGTTAGCTAACTGAGACTTTTCTTGTGATGCAATTATAAAAGTAGTTTGCTAGAATGAAACAAAGTGCATTCACTTTGTGCTTCTTACTTACACTGCTAGCCTGAGTAAATGGGATGTTGATCTAGTAATTTGATTAAAAGATCTAAAGTTATAATTTTATCTTGGACTGATTGTCCTGACAATTATAATGCCTTGATCTTTGTTTCTCCACAGGTGTTACAGAACATACTAGACACTGAAAAAGATTATGCTAAAGAACTTCAGTCTCTTCTTGTTACTTACTTAAGACCTCTGCAGTCCAATAACAAGTAAGATTTATATTTGAAACCCCTCACTAAATAAAGCAAGATAACATCAGCAATATGGAGTCATTGTTCTCATGTCACTGAATAATTGATATTGCCCTTTAGAAGAATTTCCACAGATCACAGGTTGCTAAGAACATGATCAAGGCAACAGAAAAGAGCGTGGTTTTCTTTCTCTTCTGTCTGTGGAAGGGATGAGTAGATCTGCATTTCTGTCTCACAATTTTTATGCTATATGTTTTAAGTGATACATCTGGTTTTACCTCACAGAAAAAGAGCTTGTTGGTGTTTTTATCCAGAAAGCACATAAACTGAAAATTCTTTTGCTCACTCTGACGTTTGCTTGCCAGGGCGGAAATTCTTTCCCATGCGCCGAGAGTGGAAAAAATGTGGCATTTTATGAATGTTCATAAGAACAATTCAAAGCAGTATTTTACCCAGGCAAAAGTGAACGATAAAGAGATGCAAAAATGTTTTTTTTTAAAATAAAATGTTCTAAACTTATTCTGGTCTTAGAAACCTGAGGTGATTGTCTGAGGCCTGAATTGAAAACTTAATTTTCACAAATGAAAAATATTGGCCATTCATTTTTTGTGTGCTTGTAGGAATAACATATTTAACAAATAGTGCCTCACTGCATTTGTTTGTATTTTTATGTTAATTTATTAATCTTTACTACAGATTATGATCTATAAGTCAAATAGAAAATTTAGCAGTTGGTCCATATAATGGAAAACAAAAGCCTCCTCTTTTACTTTAGTAAGAGTTTATTTTGTTAGACAGTTGCCTAAACTATTGACTTCATGCTTGAATAAGTTTAATATATTTCACTTTTCTCCTTTTTTTCCAAATCATGTTTGCTTAGGCATAATGTCTTGCTAAATTTTGCACTTGGTTATTTTCATGGCACTATGGGAATCTTACTTCAGTATGAAAAGACTGTATTCCTGTGTTTTTTAAGAGTTTAAACATAATCAACAAAATGTCTTTTGTCATTATTATGTAAAACATGAAGTGTTCTATGAATCATGGTTCTTAGAGCTGAATGGAACCTCAATGAATCACTGGGTCTAGTGCCCTGGAAGAAATGACTGTCCCCACTAAATAAATAAGAAAACTGAAGTCCATAAAGGCTTTCTGCTGTACCCATCACACAACCAGTCAGTGGCCAGATTGGATCATTTTGTCTCCTGCCACCGAGTGAAATGTGCCTTTTGAGGTGACAGGCAGAGGAGAAGAGGAACACTGAAGTGGTAACCCTGGGAGAGGAGATCGTAAGATTTCAAATGAAGGAGTGACTGATTAGTAATCAAGAAACAGTACGAGGAAAGGAAAGGAAAAGAGCCAGGTTAGAGGAGGTGAGAGACCTGAGTCAGAACTGAACTGTTCCCAAATAAATTAAAAATGCAGTTATAGTAAGTTTCCATTGGTTCTGTCTTGGAGACCCCAGAATGATTTGAGCCAAACCAGATTATTTATTGTCTGATCCTGAAGGGGCCAAATAAGCCCAGTCAAGTTCTTTGGGGCTGTGAGAGAGTAACAACCAGGGAAGCTGGCTGAAGGTTTCACTTTCGACACCCATAAAAGGGGTTTTCCAGCTTGGTTCAGGAAGACATTAGAGTAGAGGAACTGGGAGCTTTTTATACTCTAGGGGTTATTGGTAACATTTGTTGGGGGTCTTCCTTTTCTTTGTCAGCAAAAATTACTCTCTTGGCCCTAACCGGTTTGGCTCAGTGGATAGAGCGTCAGCCTGCGGATGCAAGGGTCCCAGGTTCGATTTCAGTCAAGGGCATGTACCTTGGTTGTGGGCACATCCCCAGTGGGGCGTGTGCAGGAGGCAGCTGATCGATGTTTCTCTCTCATCGATGTTTCTAACTCTCTATCCCTCTCCTTTCCTCTCTGTAAAAAATCAATTAAAAAAAATATATATATATATATATATTTAAATATATTTTATTGATTTTTTACAGAGAGGAAGGGAGAGAGATAGAGAGTTAGAAACATCAGTGAGAGAGAAACATCGATAAGCTGCCTCCTGCACATCTCCTACTGGGGATGTGCCCGCAACCCAAGTACATGCCCTTGACCGGAATCGAACCTGGGACCTTTCAGTCCGCAGGCCGACGCTCTATCCACCGAGCCAAACCGGTCTCGGCAATAAAATATATTTTTTAAAAAATTACTCTCTTGGAAATATTCCCTTAGTATTACTATACTAAGGAGAAAGGACATGTGGCAGATACTGGCCTTTTAAGTAAATCTTCAGCAAAGTTTTCTCCCAAAAAGTGGTTAAGAGTATGGGCTCTGGAGCTAGAATGTTTTTTTTAATTTATTTTTTAAATTATGTTTTTTTATTATTGATTAAGGTATTACAAATGTGTCCTTATCCCCCCATTGTCCCCTCATCCCCCCAGTCCTGCCCTCACCCTCACCCCCTGTTGTCTGCGTCCATCGCTTACGCTTATATGCATGCATGTTTTGATTCAAATTTTGACTTCGCTATTTACTGGCTTTGTGACTTGGGGTGATTTGCATAACCTTCCTGTGCCTGGGTTTCCTTACAAGTAAGATAGAAACAATAGTACCTACATCATAAAGTTATTGTAAGGTTCAAATGAGTTATTACTTGTAAAATGCTTGCATAAGTGTTAAGTGCTATATGAGTGTTGTTAGCTCTTGTTGTTATCACCTACTAGTATTTTTTTTCAATTACAGTTTACATTCAATATTATTTTGTATTAGTTTCAAATGTACAGCATGGTGGCTAGATATTTCCAGTACGGGGGTGTCCCTCAGCCCAGCCTGAGTCCTCTGCAATCTGGGACCCCTTGGGGGATGCCTGCAGGATCAGGCTTAAACTGGCAATTGGATATCCCTCTTGAAATGCAGGACCGCTGGCTCCTAACCACTCACTTGCCTGCCTGCCTGATCACCCCTAACCACTCTGCCTGCCTGCCTGATTGCCCCTAACTGTTCTCCCCTGCTGGCCTGATCACCCTAACTGTTCTCCCCTGCTGGCCTGATCACCCTAAGTGCTCTCCCCTGCCGGATTGATTGCCCTAACTGCAAGCCTGATCCCCCTAACTAACTGCTCTCCCCTGCCGGCCTGATCCCCCTAATTGCTCTCCCCTGCCGGCCTGATCGCTCCTAACTGCCTCTACCTCGGCCCCACCACCGTGGCTTTGTCCAGAAGGACATCTGGAAGGTTGCCCGGAAGATGTCTGGTGTAATTAGCATATTACCATTTTATTAGTATAGATTATTGACTATATTTTCTATACTGTGATTGATATCCCTGTGACTATTTTATAACTATCAATCTGTACTTCTCAATCCCTTCATCTTTTTCACCCAGTCCCCCAACCCCTCTCCCCTCTGGCAGCTATCAGTCTGTTCTGTGTATCTATGCGTCTGTTTCTGTTTTGATAGGGGAAGAATGAATGAGAAAAATTTTAATATAGAGGCCCTGGCCAAAATTGTTCAGTTTGCTTTTGTTTGACTCCATTCCACTCCAAAAACAAAGAAATCAGTGCTATTTTCTTTCCTCCTACTTCCTCTCATATAGAATTTTTTTAGTTGATTTATGTGCATTTTAATATAGGAGAAACTGGATTTTGCTTTTTCCCCCTGTGCATTATATTAGCATATATAATACCTTTCAATTACTTTCCCAGCTCCTCTAGAAGAGAGTACTCAATTTTTTTTTACATTTATCTCCACCTATGATGTATTTTACATGTTTAGATGCTAAGATGTTTTTATTGAGGTATAATTGACATATATCATTGTATTAGTTTCAGGTGTACAGCATAATGATTTGATTGTGAAATGATTGCCACAATAAGTCTAGTTAACAGCCATCACCCTATATAGTTACAGAAATTTTTTTTCTTGTGATGAGAACTACTAAGATCCACCCTCTTAACAGCTTTCAAATATGCAGTGCAGTATTATTAACTATAGTCACCATGCTGTGCATTGCATCTCCATCACATTTATTTTATAACTGGAAGTTTATACTTTTTGACTTCCTTCACCCATTTTGTCAACACCTATCCCCCATATGTGACAAACACCAATCTGTTCTCTGTAGATACTTAGATATTAAATACTTGTTATTAATTTACTCATTTTGTAAAATACCTGATAAATACATAAAATACCTTATAAACACTTGTTTTCTTTAGGATCATTATTCTTATTATAGAAAAGAGAAATCAAGGAAAGAAGCTTTAGAAAGTTGCTTAAAACTGGAGTTGGCATAAATTAAAAAAAGTTAAAATATATGGATTGCTTCCCTTGACTCATATGCTACTTCCTAGCAAATTATCAGCTCACTGGACTAGAGAGAAATAACTAGAGTCAAGTTCTATTCACTGACACCATATAAATATATGTATTTTTTTTCAGTCTGAGTACTGTGGAGTTTACATCTTTATTGGGGAACTTTGAGGAAGTATGCACATTTCAGCAGACACTCTGCCAAGCCTTAGAAGAATGTTCAAAGTAAGTGTCACATATTGCCATAAGGATAGCTAGCAACATTGTTTTTGTTTTATTTTCCTTTTAATTTTTGTCTTAGACAGGGGTACTTTATATCTATGCTTTTAATACAACTTGAGTATTGTCCCAGAGCAGAGAGGATGCACCAGGTGGTGGTACAGTGTCAAATCACTTGTATTTTTGTCTTTATTTTAAAATCATATAAGTTTACTGCTTCTGGTCAGTATAAGAGAGAAATAAGGTCTCAATTAAGCATGGATGAAGCCTTTGACATCAATTAGGTATTTTCTTTTGTACATTGTAAATTACTTGGAAAAGTTATTCAGATTATTCATTAAGTTTCACAAGCTTGTTTTTCTCTTTTAATTACTCCTGGTATCATGTCTATTATACTAACAGTTGAAAGAGATGAAAAGTGGGGAAAGGAAAAGTATCTTTCTGTGAACCAAAACACATATTTGATGGCTAGCTAGATTGTTGAGGTATTCAACTTCATACTACAAAATGAACTATAATGATCGTCAGGCAATATATTTCTGTAGAAGGATTAATTTTCCAAGCAGTGTATTTTGGAGAAGTTGGTGACTTTCATCATCTATAGGGAAATTGGGGCTATTACCTGTTTCTTTTTTAAAAATTTTATTTATTTAATAGTAATTGATTTCTTATTTTTTAAAAAAATTCTTTATTGTTTAAAGTATTACATATAGTATTACCTATATATCCTTTTTCATCCATTGACCTCTCCCCAGCCACCCCCACCCCCCACCTATTTCTTTATGGGACACAGATGGTTGTCTAGGGAAGGCGATGGTAAAAGCCCACACTAAAGAGATCTGAGGAGCCATTCCAAATGCTGATAAGGATCCAGATTATTCATATAGAAAGATGTTCACTAAGTGAGAAGAGCAGATTACAAACTAGATTTGTGATCTTTATTTTCCATTTTATAGAGAAACATGTAGGAGAAAGTCCAATGAATATGACAAAATTGTTATAATAGGTATCTCTGAATGGTGGAATCCTGAGTACTTTTTTTCTTCCTGGTATTTGTCTGATTTTTTGATAAATGAAACCAGGTGGTTTGTAATTTTAAAAATCCTGAGTCCACCCTGCCTAGCAAGCACCAGGCCACCAAGACTATGTAATACTTCTTTTTGGATTTTATTAGTTTTGTCTATACTTGAACTTCATCTAAATTAGCCAAGAGTATTTTTAGTATGGCCAGTAAAATTTGAATATTATAATTTGAACAAGCATTTTAGAAGAAAACCCTACCTACTGTTTCTAAATAAGTATCTGACCCTATGTATTGGCCTATGTTTTGTGATTAGAGTTACAGCAGTAGTCAAGAATTTGTGTTTCATGGATAAAATGGTTGTAATATAGTTTCTCCTTTAACTTTGGCAGAATTTGAAATGTTTGCATGTTCCCAGTATTAATTTGAATCATCTTCCTTTCTCCCCTGTTTTCTGTTTTACATTGTGTTCCACCTGTTTTACCTACAGATTTCCAGAAAACCAACACAAAGTAGGAGGTTGTCTACTGAACCTCATGCCTCATTTTAAATCCATGTATTTGGCTTACTGTGCGAATCATCCTTCAGCTGTAAATGTACTCACCCAACACAGGTAAATCATTAACATTTTCCCAAATAAACTGTTTTACAGTGAGACCCTTTCCTAGAACCATCTCATTTGGAAATCTAAGTTCTCCAGTAGAACTCTTAATTATTCCCATTCATCATGCCAGGAATTGATTCATTGTTACATGTACTGAGTGTTTATCAATTCAACAAATAATCTACTGAGCACCTAATATGTGCAAGATCCTGTACTAGCTGGTGGAGATACAGCAGTGAACAAGGAAGAGAAGGTCCCTCTCTTCATGGAGCATAGAATCTTGACGGAAATGCAGGCATGAAATTAAATATTGTAAACATGTTGTATACTAAAGGGTAATTAAAAGGATGCAGTGAGAATTTTCAACATGGTATGAAACTTAGTGTGGGGTGAGGGGAAGATTGGAGAAGGTGTTCCTGAAGTAAAATTCTATTTAGATCCAATGGGTTAGCCTTTCCCTGCCCCAGTGAATGTTTTATCTGGGATGCTGGCAAGTAGCTAAACCACTTAGGTTAATCTCTTTCAATTTTCTATTTTCTGGTAGGGGAAGTCTCAGACAGTGTTATGGCTAAAAGGCAGCTATTAACATGGAAAAGTGGAAGGAAACTAACACTGTAAACTTTGTGGCAGGTACTTTAAGCAAAGGGCTTATAATAATTATACACTGAATATAAATTGTTTCTGATTCCATGGAGAACAACAGAATAGTAGTGTCTCCTTTAAGAGTTCTTGCAAGGGACTAGGATAAATCTTCTAACTTCCTTTACCCTTTGATTACCTATCCCTGACACATTTGCTGAGACATTTATCTGGGCCAGAACACTGTATGATAGGCTTAAAGATGCAGCTTTAACTTTTAAATCATGTGCTAGAAATCTGGGTGGGACAGTAGCAAGAACAACACACACAGGCTCTTAGGACTTAACCTGGAGACTAGATTCATAATGGACACAAATTCTGGAGACTGCTCAATAATGAAAAGAATATTCTTCTCGGAGAAATCAAGATGGGGGCATAGGTAAACACCGGAAATTGCTGCCTCGCACAACAACTTCAAAAATACAACTAAAAGACAAAACGGACATCAACCAGAACCACAGGAAGGCTGGCTGAGTGGAAATTCTACAACTAGAAGGAAAGAGAAAAGCACACAGAGACTCAGAGGAGGTTCGGGAGTAAAGTGCAGAGGTACGGAGGCGCACGTGGAAAGGGCTGGCAACTGAGGACACGGTTGTCTTTTTCAACCGGGAGGGAGTCTCAAGCTCCCTACGGCTCTGAACTCCAGTTCTGGGTGAGTCTCTGGGGACCCAGGCTCATACGGGGAGAAACTGGACTGTCTGGCATCGGTCAGACCTCGAGGGCAGCTTTCTCTCAGAGGTGCTTGCAGCGATTACTGGACACTGAGATGCAGGACCTCTTAGGGTAGGGCTGAGGAGCAGCCATAGTTGCTTGTTCCACCCTGTTGATGCCCTGAGACCCCGCCTCACCCAAGCTGTTTGCAGAGGCTTTTGCATATGAATGGCCTGGCCCTTTGCAATCTGAAATTACCTAACAAACTGCAGCTGGGTCAGAGAGACCCAGAACTTCCAAAAGAAGGCCCAAGGCCCCACAGCAGTTTGCATTGCTTCACAGCTGGGCCTCATCTGGGCACCTCCAAACCTAAAACAAAGAAGAGGAATCTGCAGATCTCTCCATAACTCCTGCTGGGTAGCCTCAGGCAGAGGCTAAATTAGCACCTCCTTAGAGATCCAAGTGCCAGTGTACCCAGTGGTCAGAGTGGGACCATCCAGATTACAACTCCTCAGATCCATAAGGGACACACTCAGGGGGCATATTCAGTGAGCACCAAAGCCCCACTGAAGCAAGTCTTGCCCCATAAGGGTGTCTTCAGCACAGAAGTTCTCCCACTGCAGACACAGCTGATTCTCACAGACAATTGGCCTGGAGGTCAATTCCTCCCAGTGATACCTACAACAATCAAGGCTTAACTACAACAAGACTGTGCACAAAGCCCACAAAGGGGTGCACCAAGAGTGTCCACCTCAGGTAATTGGGGAGGCTGAGCCACTGGGCCCTATAGGACACCTAACATAGAAAGCCACTCTATCAATACAGGGAAGCATAAAAAATGCAGAGACAAAGAAACAGGTCACAAATGACAAAAATGGAGGGAAGCAAACTACTGGATATAGAGTTCAAAACCACACTTATAAGGTTTTTCAAGAATTTTCTAGAAACCGCCGATAAATTTAGTGAGACCCTCAAGAAATCTAGTGAGACCCTTGAGGATATGAAAAAGGACTAACTAGAAATTAAGCATACACTGACTGAAATAAAGAATATTATACAGAGTTCCAACAGCAGACTAGAGGATCGCAAGAATCAAGTCAAAGATTTGAAATACGAAGAAGCAAGAAACACCCAACCGGAAAAGCAAAAAGAAAAGAGAATCCAAAAATATGAAGATAGTGTAAGGAGCCTTTGGGACAACTTCAAGCGTACCAACATCCGAATTATGGGGGTGCCAGAAGAAGAGAGAGAGCAAGATATTGGAAACCTATTTGAAGAAATAATGACAGAAAACTTCCCCTATCTGGTGAAAGAAATAGACTTACAAGTCCAGGAAGCGCAGAGAACCCCAAACTAAAGGAATCCAAAGAGGACCACACCAAGACACATCATAATTAAAATGCCAAGAGCAAAAGACAAAGAGAGAATCTTAAAAGCAGCAAGAGAAAAACAGTCAGTTACCTACAAGGGAGTACCCATACGACCGTCAGCTGATTTCTCAACAGAAACTATCCAGGCCAGAAGGGAGTGGCAAGAAATATTCAAAGTGATGAATACCAAGAACCTACAACCAAGATTACTTTATCCAGCAAAGCTATCATTCAGAATTGAAGGTCAGATAAAGAGCTTCACAGAGAAGAAAAAGCTAAAGGAGTTCATCACCACCAAACCAGTATTATATGAAATGCTGAAAGGTATCCTTTAAGAAGAGGAAGAAGAAGAAAAAGGTAAACATACAAATTATGAACAACAAATACACATCTATCAACAAGTGAATCTAAAAATCAAGTGAATAAATAATCTGATGAACAGAATAAACTGGTGAATATAATAGAATCAGGGGCATAGAAAGGGAGTGGACTGACTATTCTTGGGGGGAAAAGGGTGTGGGGGGTGCAGGAAGAGACTGGACAAAAATCGTACACCTATGGATGAGGACAGTGGTGGGGGGGGTAAGGGCAGAGGGTGGGGTGGGAACCAGGTGGAGGGGAGCTATGGGGGGAAAAAAGAGGAACAACTGTAATAGTCTGAACAATAAAGATTTAATTAAAAACAAACAAACAAACAAACAAAAAAGAATATTCTTCTCTTAGCCTGGCCGAAACTTGACCTCCTAGAGCCAGGCTAGAATACTAGTTGATACTGACCCTCAGAAGTGGCAGTAATTGTGTGTGTTTTTTTTCTGATTTGTAAGGAGCTTTATTGACTTCATAGAGCTGTTATGTAAGGACATTTTTAATGTAGAATTCAGTAGTTCCTATTTGAAGGTACATTTTATTCTCCTGATAAAAGTTATGAATTCTTATGGAATAGTAAATATGGAAGTTGAATTTATAGAAAGAGAAGCCATGACTCTGGGTTATTTAGGCAAGTGCTTAAAGCTCATAACCTAATATATAAAAGGCCAGGGTTGTAACGACCAATCATGACCGAAGGCTGACCAACCCGGAAGTCCTTCAGTCAACGCTGGGTTGCTGTGGCGACCCAGCACTGATTGTCCCGCTGCAGCCTGGTGACCCAGCACTGACTGCCCAGGGGGCTGAGACCCAGAGAGAGAGGCAGGGTCTGATCTGTAGCTTCAGTGGTAGCTGTTGATCAGTACTTGCCTCTCTCTTTCTCTCCCTCTTTCTTTCCGGGCTTCACCAGCAGCCGGGCCTTTCTTTCTCTCCCGGCCTCCGCAGGGGCTACTGTTCAGCCCCGCCTCTCTTATCAGGCCCAGAGATAAGCCCAGAGATGCTGACTGGCATAGGAACCGACCAATCAGAACCAAATGTGGGTGCTGTGAAAAACCAATGGCTGCCTAGGAGGCGGAGATTTTGATGTTGATTGGCATAGGAACCAACCAATCAGAACCAGATGTGGGTGCTGTGAAAAACCAATGGCTGCCTAGGAGGCGGAGCCTCTGACACTGACTGGCATAGAAACTGACCAATAAGAACCAAATTGGTCAGCAGAGGAGGGCAGTTGGGGGCAACCAGGCTGGCAGGGGAGGGCAGTTAGGGGTGATTAGGCAGGCAGGCAGGTGAGCAGTTAGGAGCCAGTGGTCCCAGACTGTGAGATGGATGTCCAACTGCCAGTTTAGGCCCGATCCCTAATTGGAGAGGGTGCAGGCTGGGCTGAGGGAACGCCCCCCCCCTCTGTGCACAAATTTTGTGCACCGGGCCTCTAGTTAGCTAATAATAACACTGACTATGTGCCAGGCACATGATTTAAAAGTCTATACCAGGTTTCAAGTTATACTACAAAGCCACTGTAGTCAAAACAGCCTGGTATTGGACCAAGAACAGGCATATAGATAAATGGAACAGAACAGAGAACCCAGAAATTGACCCAAGCCAATTAATATTTGACAAAGGGGGCAAGAGTATACAATGGAGTCAAGATAGTCTCTTCAATAAATGGTGTTGGGAAAATTGGACAGTTACATGCAAAAAAATGAAACTAGACCACTAACTTACACCATACACAAAAATAAACTCAAAATGGATAAAGGACTTAAACGTAAGATGGGAAACCATAAAAATCTTAGAAGAAGCTATAGGCAGCAAAATAGCGGACATTTGTTGTAGCATTATCTTTACTGATACAGCTTCTAGGGCAAAGGAAACCAAGTAGAAAATAAACAGATGGGACTACATCAAAATAAAGAGCTCCTGCACAGCAAAAGAAACCATCAACAAAATTAAAGGGAGCCCACTGTATGTGAGAACATATTTGGC